ATTCCTTTATTAGATTAACATATAAATATAAGTTATTTAATTCTATTTTTTATTACTTAATAATAAATGGCGTTTTAAAAACTCAAATGTAGATCGTCGGCGTAGTTTCAAATTATTAAACAAAGGTATAAAGTAATTTGAAATTTTATTTTTAAATATGGTATTCATCTGAAAAAACACCAGTTATCCTGCATACTTGTAACTAACAGAATCATATATAATAGATTAGTAACATCTAAAGGAAAGAAAATACTTAACTTCCTCTTATTAAATTCCGTAATCGGAAAAAATAGCCTATAAGTTGCCCCGGGTTACTAACTACCTATATATACAAAATTTCATGGATATCTGTCTAGTAGTTCTTGCCTGAATCTTTAATACACAAACAGACAGACATACCGAAAGACAGACAGACAACAATTCTAAGAATGGCCTCACTATGAAACGGCGCCGGGTCTGGGCGTCTCCCCTTAATGCACCCAATAATAATTCAGTTGGATATGATGGCATAAGCACACGTGTACTAAAGGCATTTGCGAGGGATTTAAGCCGACCTGTAATTAAATTGTCAATGAAACAGCGATCATTCCCCGATATCTTTATGTATTGTTAAGCCAATATACAAGAAGGGCGATAAATGTGATATGAATAACTATAGGCCGATAACTCTTATTCCAATACTATCTAAAATCTATGAAAAAGTAATTTTCAAGCGCATTGATAGCTTTATTACATCACATAATATACTGAAAGAAGAACAGTATGGTTTTCGCAAAGGTCACCCTACTACCTTGGCTTGCTACAATCTGATACATTATGTTACTGAATGTATTAATCAAATATATCACTTATTGCTTTATTTCTAGACATGACCAAAGCTTTTGTCTTTGTTCCACATAAAAGATTACTGGATAAACTCTATCGATATGGTATTAGAGGTAACGCTTATGACTGGTTGGAAAGTTATTTGTATAATAGACAGCAATGTTGAAATAATACTAGTTTTTACGGAATTTATCGCGTATATTTAACTTTTTAATTACCCGACGTTTCGAGAGCTTTACAGCACCCATGGTCACGGGAAGGACTGAGATGTTCAACGTCCAGCTGTCATAGTTAACCGCGGTTACCATAGATTAAAATTTAACTTTTGTTCCGATCTACACAGTATGAACTTATGGTATCATGGAGTCTTGCAGTTGTATGCTTGGGTTGGGATTTAATTTTATTTATTATAGGATCCCAAGCAGATGGTAGCACCCAGCCATCTTCTCTATTGAAATTAGGATGTTTTTTGATTTCAATAGCCTCGCGAATCATCCTTGGAAGGAATCGGTGTTCTTTAGCGAGGATTTGTGGTCTATCAAATCTGATGTAGTGACGGGGGGCGATCCTGTACATGTTCACAGACTGCAGACTTCCCGGAGCGTCGATTCTTCACATGAGCTATATGTTCTTTGACGCGGGTTTTAATGGATCTTTTAGTTTGTCCTATGTAGGAGAGACCACATTCACAATCAAGCTTGTACACTCCTGCATCTTGCAGAGGGACGTTACACTTGACTGATGGTAAAAACTGACCAATCTTCTTCGGCGGCTTGAAGTATGTTTTGATGGAAGCGCGCTTCAAGATGTAGCCAATCTTGTCAGTGACTCCTCTAACATATGGCAGTACAGCAGGTACACGCTCGACTGTGGCCGGCTTCACTCGTTCTCTGTGACGTAGGCGCGGTACCCGAAGCTTGTTGTCATGCAAAACTTGCTTGACATGTTGGAGCTCGGCAGCCAGGTGTTTACTGTCACAGATCCCTCGTGCTCTCTGAAACAAAGATTTACCCACGGTAGCTAACTGTGAAGGATGGTGGTGAGAATCACCGTTTAAATATCTATCTGTATGGGTCTTTTTTCTATACACAGTATGGCTCAAGGTGTTATCAGGATTCCGAATTACTAACACATCTAGAAAAGCTAAGGAATTGTTTGCCTCTAACTCCATTGTGAACTGAATTTTAGAATTTATAGAGTTAAGATGGTCTAAAAATGCAGTTACTTTATCTAAAGGTAGAATTGTGAAAGTGTCGTCTACGTACCGCTTGTAGAAACTTGGATTTATGGGAGAAGTAAGCAGGGCTTTCTCCTCAAAGTCTTCCATGAATATGTCGGCGACAATGGGAGATACAGGTGAGCCCATCACCACACCATCTACTTGCTTGTAGAACTCCTCCTTCCACAATAGGTAGCCAGATGTAAGTCCATTACGCCCCATAGTGAGCCAAATCGATTCACCAACTTACAGATTGGCTCAACACTTAGCGAAAATACTCTCACCGCTCAGGGGACATACAAGAGCACACATAAAGGATTCCTACCATTTTGTCAGCGAGATTAAAGACCTACGTCTGGCAGACAATGAAACTATGGTCAGTTTTGATGTGCAGTCATTGTTTACATGCTTACCTGTTGAAGACTGCATCTCAATTGTAACTAGAAGGCTGGAAGAAAACAACATGCCCGTAGAATATGCAGTATTACTCAGACACTGCCTTACATCTGGCTACCTATTGTGGAAGGAGGAGTTCTACAAGCAAGTAGATGGTGTGGCGATGGGCTCACCTGTATCTCCCATTGTCGCCGACATATTCATGGAAGACTTTGAGGAGAAAGCCCTGCTTACTTCTCCCATAAATCCAAGTTTCTACAAGCGGTACGTAGACGACACTTTCACAATTCTACCTTTAGATAAAGTAACTGCATTTTTAGACCATCTTAACTCTATAAATTCTAAAATTCAGTTCACAATGGAGTTGTGACAGTAAACACCTGGCTGCCGAGCTCCAACATGTCAAGCAAGTTTTGCATGACAACAAGCTTCGGGTACCGCGCCTACGTCACAGAGAACGAGTGAAGCCGGCCACAGTCGAGCGTGTACCTGCTGTACTGCCATATGTTAGAGGAGTCACTGACAAGATTGGCTACATCTTGAAGCGCGCTTCCATCAAAACATACTTCAAGCCGCCGAAGAAGATTGGTCAGTTTTTACCATCAGTCAAGTGTAACGTCCCTCTGCAAGATGCAGGAGTGTACAAGCTTGATTGTGAATGTGGTCTCTCCTACATAGGACAAACTAAAAGATCCATTAAAACCCGCGTCAAAGAACATATAGCTGATGTGAAGAATCGACGCTCCGGGAAGTCTGCAGTCTGTGAACATGTACAGGATCGCCCCCGTCACTACATCAGATTTGATAGACCACAAATCCTCGCTAAAGAACACCGATTCCTTCCAAGGATGATTCGCGAGGCTATTGAAATCAAAAAACATCCTAATTTCAATAGAGAAGATGGCTGGGTGCTACCATCTGCTTGGGATCCTATAATAAATAAAATTAAATCCCAACCCAAGCATACAACTGCAAGACTCCATGATACCATAAGTTCATACTGTGTAGATCGGAACAAAAGTTAAATTTTAATCTATGGTAACCGCGGTTAACTATGACAGCTGGACGTTGAACATCTCAGTCCTTCCCGTGACCATGAGTGCTGTAAAGCTCTCGAAACGTCGGGTAATTAAAAAGTTAAATATACGCGATAAATTCCGTAAAAACTAGTATTATTTCAATGTGTAGTGTTCGCGTAAATATAAGAAATCATTAGACAGCAATGTATTGAGATAGCAACAGTCGTTGAATCCAGACTGTGTACTTTCTGGTCAAAGTCAACCCATGTGGAGTTCCACCCATGACACGATGTTAACCCATGTGGAGTTTCACAGGGCAGTATCTTGGGGCCCCTGTTGTTTTTGATATTTATTAACGACTTACCAAATGCAACTCAACATAAATGTTACATGTTTGCAGACGACACTACCGTGGTAATAAAATGTGATGAAATAGAAAAATTCAATGTCATTATTAATGAGACTTTACACAACCTAATCAATTAGCTACATTCAAACAATCTCAAAATAAACATACAAAAAAAAAAAAAACAAAGGGAATCCAGTTTACTACTAACAGAGCAAGGTAACAGCACAATGAATGTGCTAGTCGATTTTTGCGGTAATATTGTTGAAATTGTTAATGAAGCTAAACTTCTTGGATTTACTTTAGATAAACACTATGACTGGAAAGCACATATAGACAATCTATGTACGAAAATAAATAAATTTGTATACGCACTACGACGACTCAGTAATGTATCATCCATTGAAACTGCTCTATCGGCCTACCATGGCTATGTGTCATCACTATTAAGTTACGGCATTATATTGTGGGGAGGTTCAGCTTATGTAAACCAGGCTTTCATAGCCCAAAAGAAATGTATTAGGGCTATTTGCACAGTACATTTTCTTGAAAGCTATAAACCCCTTTTCAATAAACTTAGAATCCTACCGCTACCGTGCCTGTATATAAAACAAATGTGTATTTTTGTACGACAACATTCTCATTATTTTGTCACTAGAGAGTAAAACTAAAACAAACCTACCAGACATCGAGATGGGATCGTGCAACCTAGAATAAGACTTCAACTATACAGACGAAGCTGTTATTGTATGGCTATTAAAATTTGTAATAAGCTTCATCCAAGTTTCAAAGCTCTGCCGTTACCATTGTTTAAAAGAAAGTTACATTCCTGGCTTTTCACTAGGTGCTTTTTATTCAGTCCAGGAATACGTAAATGACCAAGAGGTTTTTAAATTTAAACTGTATTTTTAGCTTTTCTGTTTTTACTTTATTTTATGACTTGAATAATTTGCTATAAAATATTATACAATTTATAAATGATGACATGAAATGTTCTGTCTGTGACTCATGTTTACCATTAGTTATCGGTTTAGTCCATTAACTTATTTTTAGATCTAAGTAGACTAAAATGTAACTATTCTTAAATTTGCATGACAATTATAAGTCAAACATGAGGACGAACAATTATGTTAACATCTTTGCACTACCATGTTTTAAGCAAATAAAAAAAATCTGATTTCTGATTTCTAATAACATGGATGATGGAAAAAAAGAACATGCAAAGGGCCGCTACCTGGAGGTCGCCAGGGCACGTTTGGAGCTGGCGCTGGGCGGGACAGCATGTGAAACGCCAGCCGAGCGCGAGGTGCTGCACGAACACCCAACAGCCCCTCGCATCCATCATCCCCACCAGCTGGCTTGGTGTCGGAAGGGTCTTCGCGGGCCCACCAATCAGCACCTGCCACTGGTGGAGCACGCCGCATGTGTTGGACAATGCAGATTAATAGCAAAGTATTGCGGGCGTATTTTAAGGCGAAGGGGGGAGAAATTGGACGTTTTGCCTATCGGTCTAGGATGCTTCGACTTTTTTGCTGAGCTGGAGCCATCTATAACCGTCACCAAGCATAACCTGGCAGACCGAGTTCGGTATATCTTGCGCTCAAATATATGTGATGTCGCCGATCTCGATCGGCTGCTACGTGAGGCTGTTACCTCGTCGGATGAAAATGCTACTTCGTCTGAGGATGTAGCGCCACAACTTGCAGAACAACCCGCAAACGTGAATGCCGCCGTGAATATCCCAATAGTGGTTGATTCCAGCGATGATGGAACAGTCACACAGGAACTGGAACTAGAGTATTTGAAGAGGCGGAGAGATTGTGGAAACGCGCAATCCGCCTCTCGAAAATCGACCGCAACTTCCCCCTCATAGCCCTAAGCGACCAGAATCGGGCTGTCGTGAGGGTTCTGAACTCAGTGCTGTTGACCTATTTAGAAATCAGCTGGGACCTTTGCGAGATGAACTCAATTCTTTTTGGCGCTGCACTGGCAGTCTGCCGTATTATAGGCGCCAAACTTTCCACGGCCGGACGTACTACTGGGCAAAGAAGCGCTATTCCAGCTTGGAGGAAAAGAATTGAAGAACGTATCGTTGGATTTTTTGTTTGTTTGTTTGTACCGAATAAGCTCAAGAGCTCCGAACCAATGACTTCACAATTGCAACCGAACCTAACCTTTGTGTTATAAAATTTAATTAGATCGCCAGTTAAAACTATAGTTAGTTACAATTTTTTTTAAGGAGAATAAAGTTGACAAACGAGCACACAGTGCACCTGATGGTGAGTGGATGCTGTGGCCCATAGACATCTACATTTATCTTCAATTAAGAATCCAAACGCAAATGGGTTGCCTGAGGACTGAGATGGAATGCCTCGTTTCTAGTAAAAAGGGTATCCGTTTCTCCACACTCACCACACGAAGCACAGCAGCATTGAGCTGCTATTTCACGCTGGAATTCTGTGAGAGCGTGGTGCTATCCCGGTCGAGCCGACCCATTCGTGCTGCAACTACAATATGGCTGCAGCGTGGCACTACCACGTTAAACATTCGTATTGTAGTATTAATGCTTATTTAAATAAACAATTTTATAATACTGAAAGATTAAGAGATAATTTATACCTAATTTTAAAAGCATATTCTATTCTTTACTCTAGTCATTACTTAGTTTGGCGGTAAAGTTGAATATTTTAACAAAAATAAGCTTTAAAAACTTTTCGATATCGAAATCGAAATCGATAAAAATGATAAAAATGTTTTAATTATAAATGATATCACTTTTGTATGTTTTGATACAGAAATTTGTCGACGATCATTTCATAACTTCACCATGTAAACTGGAAGAAACCGCGTTTCGGGGCACTTGCTGGGGCGCGGGGAGAAGATGTTCACCCGGGAGGTGGAGGGAGAGTGGATGAAATTTAACTTTTCTGTACAACGTACATATTATGCCGATTGAACTAAATGAGCGAGGTGTCATGTCATGTCGCGCGGCTCAGACGCGTGATATACGCGGGTGAAACCGAGGGGCACAGCCAGTATGAAATATTGGTATAATGTTAAAACAAATTAATACTCGTAAGCTATAGGGAAAGCCATCTCAAGCATAGGCTAATAACGGGTCTAAATCATCTTAGTGCTTTAGGAGAGCACATTAGTATTACTCGTACAGGATTCTGGCGTTAATTGATTGATTCACTGTCTGAGAAAGTGTGCGTGGCGCAGATTAAAGACAATTTGATGTAGGAAAATAATTCTATCGCTACTCCTCCTTGTATAGGTAACGAGGTCTTATTGGTAACGAGGTCTTTTATCTTAGTCCATAGGGGTACATTTGCATGTTGATTTTTAATTAAGGACAGATGTAGGTGTTAGGCACACTACACCCTTACAATCCGGTGGATTGTGTGTTCGTTAGTCACCCGTTTGTGCATAAAATATGTCTTCTTATTCATCGCAATCTATCGAATTCAACATCACATGTGAAAGGACTTTACCTCACAGAGGGACGTTCACAGATGCCGTTGTAAATATAACAGAGGTCATTGGTATTAACGTTGTACGGTAATACTTTAGACTTTTCGTTACAAAATAAAACTTAAGAAATGTTAAAATTATGTATTATATACAAATGGTTATTTTTAGACAGTAATTTTATTAAAATAAAATAATTACATATAATACATGTTCAACATATTATTATAATCAATGATATTATAAGAAATTTACTTATAATATCATTGATTACAATATAATGTTTTATTGTAATGTTATGTTACTCCTGAACATCGAAATAATTTAAGTTACCATAAAATATATAGTACAGACTTAAGTGAAACTTATGCCAAGGTGTGGTAGTGAGGTAAGAGAAATAATTATCCCATTTTATTTATATATATGGCGTAAAAGGCGACCATGGACGATGACCAAGGATCTTCATCATTCCTCCATGAGAATTTTGTTAGATGGTTTTATAACCATCTTGTATTTTTTTTCAGTCTCATCAGTTCGATAAAATTCTCCTGCTGGACCTGCACTTCTCCTATAGAAAGAATGATTTGACATACACGTAGTTGTTGTGGTTGGTAGATGGATTAGGGAAACATATACCAGATGTTTTGTACCGTTGCCGTTTTTCCGTCGCTGGGCTAGGTATTTGGTATTTTGCATTTGGCAATGTAAAGATAATTTGCTAATGATGACGGAAACTCTTTTATAACTGGACGTATCACAACCGTTACAATATATCTGCAGTGCGATTTTGTAACTGTTTGTTATTTGCCAATGAAAATTGCTTCGCAATTTTGAGTAAGCAAATGTATTTTTTTAATTATCATAACATTATTGTCATCTAGAAAGAAATATTTATATAAAAATAATTGATATTGATATATGACAATACAATCAAGACAAAGGCCACACGTCAAAACTAAGCCAACCCCGATTCACATTAAATTTCCACAGCTACAAAACGCAGTAGGGTTGCTTATCTTCTACATTTGCACGTTAAAGTCTACTGTTTGGCGTGAGACTCTCAAGTCTTGGGAAGCATTTGCTTGAACGACCATAACCTTACCCGATATGGCAATAATTCTCTGTTTTTCTTTGCATCACTCTCAACGCTAAGCTTTGCAGCTTATGCTGTAAAAAAGATTAGAGATCTCACTAGTGTCGAGACAGCTAGATAAGTGTATTTCAGTGATTTCCATAACATAATGTCGTATGGGATATTGCTATGGGGGAATGCGATTGATTTAGAAACTATTTTTGTTTTACAGAAGAGGGCCATTAGACCTATTTACAACCTTAAATCGAGAGAGTCTCTTATTGAAAAATTTGAAGAAATAAATATATTAACTTTTTTCTCTCAGTACATCTATGAAAATTTGATGTCTGTTCACAAAAACAAAGGTAGTTTTAGTAAAAGAAGTAACATACACTCTGTAAACACTAGGAACCAAACACGAGCTCATCTCTATAATTCATTCTTGGGGCAATGTATACGCTATTACAACAAAGTCCCATAAAATATACAAGATCTCTCTATTACCAAGTTTAAATATTTAAGTAAACAAAAATTGGATAAAAAGGGTTATTATGATACAAATGAATACATGCTTGATAAAAACCAGTGCTAAAGTGAAAAATTGACTTTCAATATGAATTACTTAATCTATATTGAATAATGAAATATTCTATTATATTCTAATAGCAAATCATCTCGACTTTGGAATAGGCCTGTGTCTAGCAGTGGTCTGTTTAGAATGAATGAAAAATGAAAAAAAAAACGTACACAAATTCACAAAAAAATTATGACAAAATATGTAATACAAACAGTAATAGAATATTTATCAAATAAAACTAATACGTATAAAAGTATTAAAATCAAATACTTATATAATTGTCTTTAAACTGATTTTTTTTTCATTTCCTTGCTATAAGGCAACCGTTGTCAGTCACGTAATTGGAACCAGTAATGCCTTTTGCTTTGTCACTTGATAAATACAAAATCAAGTCGGCTACTTCCACAGCATCAGACATTCTATTAAGAGGCGTCGTAAAGTTAGCTTTGGTTATAAGATCGATGATACCTGAGTTTTCTGCAAAATCTGTTTTTACTGGTCCAGGACTAATAGAGTTTACTCGAACACCATAACCAGCCAGTTCAGATGCGGAACAACGCGTAAAATGATTAAGTGCTGCTTTGGAGACGTTATATGTCACGAATTCTGGTAAAATCGGCAATATGTCACCCCCAATGCTTGAAATGTTAATTATGTTCCCTTTTGTCTTTATTAAGTGTGGAGCAGCTAGGGTGGTAAGGTGCATTACAGCCCGTAGATTCGTACTCATTACTTCATCATAACTTTCTAATAAATTTCCATTTAGAATACTTCCCAACCTCATAATTCCCGCATTGTTTACCAGGATATCAAGTTTGCCAAATTTATCGATTGTTTTGTTAATTGCTGCTTTTGCTTCCTTGTCCTTTGATATATCAGCCTTGATGACTAAAGGTTTCTTACCATGCGCCTCACATTGTTTGTATACGTTATTCATTTTCGCTTCGTTTCTTCCAATAATTACAACATCAGCGTCTTGTTTAGCAAATTCAATTGCCGCTGCTGCGCCAATTCCAGAACTCGCGCCACTGATGAATACTACTTTGCCGGTGAAACTCATTTTGAACACACTCTACGAACGTCTACAGTATCAATAACTCTGACGGTCGTGTCTCAACCTTCATGACTTAAATCTTATCTTCGTTATATATTATCTTCGTTAATAAATAACAAAGCGACTATCACTATTATTACGTCGATTGATAATTATATTATGACACTTGAGATACTACTTTATATTTGAATCGATGATTTCTAAAACAACATAATTAACATTTTTGCCGAAATAATAATATTAATAATATATGGATGATGGATTTAACTAGAATGTGGAAAGCGCCGCTGCCTGGAGGTCGCCAGGGCGCGTCTGGATCTGGCACTGGACGCGACTGCATGCGAACCGCCAGCCGACGAGGCCGCGCCGCGAGGTGCTGCACGACCACCCAGCAGCCCCTCGCATCCATCATCCCCACCAACTGGCTTGGTGTCGGTAGGGTCTTCGCGGTCCCAGAAATCGGCACCCGCCACTGGTGGAGCACGCCGTATGCGTTGGACAACTCAAATGAATAGCAACGCATTGCGGGCGTATTTTAGGGCGAAAGGTATGATGCCCGATACGCAAAACTTCCAATATCTCCCATATTGGAAGTTTTGCGTATCGGGCAAGGATGCATCGACTTTTTGCTAAGCTGAAGCCATCTGTAACCGTCACCGAGCAAAACCTGGCAGATCGAGTTCGGTATATCTTGCGCTCAAATACATTTGATGTCACCGAACTCGAACGGCTACGACGTGAGGCTGTTCCTTCATCGGATGAAAATGCTACGGCTGATGATGCGGCGCCACAACTTGCGGATCATAACGCAAACATGGATACCGCCATGAATACCCCAGTTGTGGTTGATTCAAACGATGATAGAACAGTCGCCCAGGAACTGGAACTTGAGCAATTGAGGAGTACATTGGATGGGGCGATTTTGGAAACGCGCAGTACGCCTCTCGAAAATCGACCGCGTCTTCCCCGCATAGCCCTAAGCGAGCGGAATCGGGCTGTCGTGAGGGCTCTGAACCCAATGCTGGTGACCTATTTGGAAGCCAGCCGGGACCTTTGCGAGATGGACTCAATTCTTTTTGACGCTGCACTGGCAGTCTGCTGTATTGTAGGCGCGAAACTTTCCACGGCTGGACGCACTACTGGACAAAGTAGTGCTATCCCAGCCTGGAGAATAAGAATTGAAGAACGTATCTCAAAGGCTAGGGCCCTCATCGGCAGACTGATATGCTTCAGGTCAGGCAATACCAGGCCAAGGATTGTGCGCACCGTCTGGATGGCGTTTGCTGGGACAAATGTTAGTTTGTCCCAGCCGGATATAATGAAAAACTGACGGAGCGCACAGACGACCTGAAGCAGAGAATCGCTGCTTGGGGAAAGCGGATTCGGCAATATACCGAGAGGTAGACACGGTTCAACCAGAATCGTCCCTTCCAGAGTGATCAGAAGAGGCTCTATAAATCATTGGAGCGACCAATAGTAAGTGAAACGGGCCCAGCACTGTCTCATTCTGGCACGGCCTGTGGTCAGAGCCCGTAAACTACAGCGAGGGCCCTTGGAAGGAAGTTGTGGCGAGTCAGTGTGCGGGTATTACACCCATGGACCCCGTCATCATAACGCCGGACGACGTAGCTGAGGCAGTCCGTCAAGCCCCGAACTGGAAAAGTAAAGTGTGTAAATACGATTCTTAATTGTAAAAATAATAATTGGAGTTCATCATCTTAGGCAGGTATTTACTTTTATTTATTAAAAAAATATTAATCACGAAAATAATAATTATAATAATATAATTTAATCACACAACTAACGCCCTCATTAGTAATGTCATGGCGATAGATAGATGGCTAGTGAGTTTATTGATAACCAGATCAATAAGTCTTTCACATTGCGTTTTTACAAGAAAAGCTGCATTTCTTCACAACTTTTGCCTTCAGAGTTGGCATTTTCAGCGAAAAAACAAATAAATATAAAAAAATTGAAGGTAACAAAAAGTTAATCTCCTATGTCCCTGATACATTTAGAGACTCCTAAGAAATTTTGGAGTGGCCAATGAAGTGTAGATGAAGTGGGAGATGATGCATAATTATAAAAGTGGGTACAGCAACATTATGTTATAATTATAAGATTAATACAGTTGAACAAATATGAGTATTTGACTTATTATTTTATGTTAGAGTAATTGCGTGGGCATCAAAACAACATAAGTAACAGATTTATTGTCAAAAGCACATAAGTGAAAATTTTTATAGTTCATGTATTTATACTAAAATAAAATAAAAAGATATACTTATAAAGATAAATATTAAGAGCTCTATACACTAAAATAAAAAATATATATATACATAATTACAAATTACATGCATTATAAAAATTATCCGGTTTTTATATCTCCTGCTAATTTAATTTTTAGTTAGTTGTGTTGTTTTAGAAATCATTGATTCAATTGTACTTTATGCCTGTAAGAAAATATAGTGTTAATAGCCTCTTGTTAATTGTCACGTTTGTCTCAAAGTTCGATAGTAAAAAAGATATATATATATATATATATATATATATATATATATATATATATATATATATATATATGTGTATCTAGTATATTCCTTAAAGACCGCATTTCTACAGCATTTATTCTACTTTCGTGCTTCTTCTGCTACACCCAGCTTTCACTACCATACATTAAAGTAGGGACTAACACAGCATTATGAATTACCATACGTGCCTTTTTGGACACATTCTGGTTCTTCATAATAGAGTGTAGTGCCCCATTCACTCTGTTCCCTGCATTTACTCGTCGTTCTATATCCCTATCATATCTACCATCCCTGCTAAATACAATCCCAAATACACAAATTCATCCACTTGCTCAATAAACTCTCCTTCTATTCTTATTTTACATACCGTTTTGCTTTCTTCTCTTTCAAAAACCATCACTTTCGTCTTACTTGCGTTCACTTTCATTCCCCTTTCTTTTAATTCCCAGTTCAATAATGTAACCATCATTTGCAACTCAGCCGGCGATGACGCAAATATGACTTGATCATCGGCATACAGAAGGCATTTGACGGTTAACTCGCCCATTCTTAACCCACATTCTTCATCTTTCAAAGTTTGCAAACACCGGTCCATAAATAGGTTGAACAGCCAAGGGGAAGCTACACAGCCCTGTCTGACACCTTTTTGGATGCCAAACCAGTCCGAGTAGACCCCATTGATCCTGACACAAGCACTAGAGTTTGAATTTGAATGACAGGGTGAGAAATTGCGTGATAAGAGATAAATGTGGTATGCAAGATGATGTTGTGACCAGGATTAAGAAAGGAATACTTCGGTGGTTTGGTCATGTAGAAAGAATGAATGAGGAAAGAGTGACAAAGCAAATTTATATGGCAGATGTGAACGGCCGAGTCGGGAAGGGACGCCCTAGAAAAAAGTTTATCGACCAAATTGGCGATATTTTGAAAATGGGCCACGTTAGAAGTACCCTTAACCGACGAGCATGTATGCGTAGATATATGGATCGTGCCAGATGGAAGTCCTTAGTCTCTGCCTACCCCTCTGGGTGACAGGCGTGAGTGTTTATATATATATATATATATATATATATATATATATATATATATATATATATATATATATCTATATCTTTTGTTAAATTTTCATGAGTTATTTTATTTATGAACAAAAACATATAAAATTACAAATAATAGGCAAACATACAGGCTGATGGGTGAAGCTATTTTCTCTACCGACGCCACACGTGTAAGCATAGTTTAATTTTGTCTGTATCGAACTCACTTGATGACGAGCCCAGTACCGTAATGCACAAGCCACTTGCACTGCTAAATCTATTGTGTTACCACGAGAATCACTCGGGGTATCGTTTTTCACAAGATCTAATATTTTTCTAGCAAAAAGTTTGCTGAACCCACATTTTTTCTTAAACTTGTCGTCGTCGTATTTTTTCAAACGGATTAACCCTCACACGAACCGTATTACTTTCTCGGAACATTTTAGCATAGTTATCCATGTCGTCTTCATCGAAGTAATCAACAAAATCAATTATATCCATGTTAAATAAAAATACTAACTGACGGAGAGATAGGTTAGACACTAGTTAAACAAGGGTTTGCGGCTTTTTAAATTTAAACAACGTCTAAGCTGTGTCTATCCATAAATCACCGTTAAACACTATTTTGTAGTAACCAATTTGCTAAACACGTGTTGAACAGATGTCTAACTTTTTTGTAGTAAGACAGTTCTACTTTAATAGGTACAGGATTCTTTAGAATTAAAGTTTAATTAATCTAGGCGTATTTAAAGGTTTAATAACTCAGTACTTATATTACCGTATGAGTTAGAAATATAATTTTGAACTGCAACATAAAATATGACATACCTAGGTATAAGTTTAATTATATAGCAAATAATTGTTACAATCTTTTTTTTAATGTCAAGCCAAAATTTTAATGTAATAAATTAATTGAATACATCATGAATTGAGGTTTTTAAAGAATATTTCCTTTAGTCTTCAGTATGTAAATTTTTTATAGCGCCATCTACTAATTCTATAGGTGAAGTCATTTTATAGAACGAAAATTTATTGACTCTCACGGTGATACGTAAAGATTTCGATAGATGGCACAAACACGCTATCGGCTAAATTAATATTTATATTATTTATTTATAATATAAGAGGGGGATAAGTCGCTTGCGTCCGTAGGCTTTGATCACCTGCTCCTAGGCCCACCCTACACGTGTCCCCCGGGTGGTGCTAAATGAGCGACAAGCCGATACCACAGACTCGGCTCTACACCGTGGTGGCGGCGTTAAATATACCACCCCATTTCGCACCATGAGGAATCGAATTAAAGAAATGGCCCCGAGTTCCCGGCGCCCCTTTAATGGGGCAGGGGTGCGAAGAATCTCCGGGAGGAAAACCGGCGACGAGGTTCGCCACCCGTCACGTTCTGTCTCCCGGAGAGGCGAAAAGTAGATTGCAGAGGCCCGTTTAGCTACGTTGAATGTATGTGGGGCAATGAATGATAAAATGGATGAAGTATGCGATATGATGTATGATAGAGGAATAGATGTGTTATGCGTAAATGAGACGAAAAGGAAGGGGAAGGATGTCACTACATATGGCATGTATACCGCATACTGGTCTGGTGTAGACGACATCGAGCTGGCATGCCAGGGAGTAGGTATCATCCTTTCAGAAAGAATGGGCCAATGTGTGAAAGAGTATGAAAGTGTAAGCCCAAGACTGCTATGGATACGAATGAAAGTGGGCTTAAAGAAGTTGTTTGTGTTAGGGGTCTACGCCCCAGACATGTCTAAGCCCACTTATATCCGAGAGCAGTTTTGGGAAATGGTAAGGATGGTGTTAATGAAGTGTAAGGCAAATTAAAATATTATTATGCTAGGAGATTTTAATGGAAGGGTTGGGGTCAGAAGGCTTGGTTATGAAAGGATATTGGGAACGTTTGGTGATGAAAGTATAAATGAGAATGGTGAAAGTCTCCTCATCGTATGTATGGAAAAGAATCTTTTTGTGACAAACACTTGCTTTCGCCACAAGAGGATTCACATGTATACTTGGGAAAGAGGTGACGATAGAAGCATGATAGATTTCATAATTGTGGATGAAAGATTGAGGGGCGCAGTGATAGATACGAGAGTTTACCGGGGTTCTAACGTAGGAACGGATCATTATTTAGTTTTATGCTGAATTAATAGTCTATTCAGGCGTTGGCGCCATCGATCGTCTGTGTCTACCACTGCGTTACAGCGTATTAGAACAGAAAGGTTACAAGATGAAAGTGATAAAAACAAGTTCAAATGTAGACTGAAAGAAAATATAAGTGGTTTGGATGAATTATGTATGAAGGAGTTAGACTTGGAGAATATATGGCAAAATGTAAAGAAAGGTTTAGTGGATGCAGCTACCGAAATATGTAGTAGAAGTTGAAGCAAAGAAGAGAGCATGGCTATATTTACTAGCAACAAAGGCTGCTAATTCTAGTGATACAAATGGTGATATTGAAAGGAAAAAGGCAGTCTTTAGATATCTTAATAAGAGAGTAAAAGAAGTAGTTGAAAGAAAAAAGCAAGAAAGAATGGATAAGAATGATAGAAGAATATCGGATAACTTCCAGGCAAATATTAAAATGTTCTGAAAACTCGTAAGAACTGCCAGGGGACAGAGCACAGAGACGAGAATGGCTATATTCTGAATGATGAAGTTTTGAGTTTGAAGAGATGGAAGGAATATTTTGAAAGCGTGTTTATGAGTGAGGAGACAACGTGTGTACTAAGTGAAGTAGAAACACC